CTTCAAAAAGCTGGTCAGCAGAAGGAAGCATGAAGTGCTCCAAAATTTCTTGGTAAACGGGTGCAGTGACGTTGGTTTCAAAAAACACAATGGACCAACACCAGCAGATGACATTGCACCCCAAATCATCACAGACTGTGGAAACTTAACACTGGACTTCAAGCAACTTGGGCTATGAGATCTATCTATCTGTCTATCTAGCTGTCTATCTGTCTGGTTATCTATCTATCTATCTATCTATCTATCTATCTATCTATCTGTCTGTGTCTGTCTGTCTGTCTGTCTGTCTAAACACATCTGTTATGGCCCCTGTGAGCCCTGATTAAGTTCCCAGAAAAAGCATAAACCAAAGCCAAAAGTATTTATTTTAAAAATGTAACATTCATTTTCCCAAAAAATATTTGATGGTTTTCCGTGTGGTTGAGGGTAAGCTCTTTAGTCTAGACTTGTGGAGCTTGTGTGTCTGTGGTCCGGTCACAACTCATCACAGTCTTTCCTGTGAAAAAATTAAGAAAGATGACTTGAATAATGAAACGACCAGTGCAGGGTCACAATCCTGGGATGTTTTGAATCATCCGAGACGTATCAGAAGGGAAGTTTCCCAGATTGAGTTTAGAAACAAAGCGTGCAGATGCAGGCACACATTGGTTTTTTGTTTTAGTTCTCTTCAAGAATGTCTGTCAGACTCTTCTGGGTGTTATATGAGAGAATAAATCATTCGGTCTCCTGCGGTAAAAGAAAAAAGATATGCTTGTGCCACTGAGAGGGTCTCTCAGAGGACTCTCAGTCCACTGTGCTGTATTTTATCTCGCTTTTGAAGTGAAGGAGGTTCTTAAAGAAACATTGTGGCACTAAAACTATTGAAGCCACGTAACTTTGCTTTACACTGCCATCGATCTGAGTTTTGTAAAAAAAAAAAAAAAAAAAAGGAAATCTTAAGCTCTCTACTTACATCCCTTATTTTCCATGATTTCATTTCCTTGTTGTCTGATAGTAAATAAATTTGTGCATTCATTTCTCCATGGATTTTTTTTTTCTGTTTAATTCTTGATTTTGCTGTATTCTGATTGGTCTGGTCTGGTCTTTGTCATTGTTATTGTTTATTTAACATGGAACGAATAAGGAACTGGTGCCAGTACACAGTACAGAAGACTGTTTCATGCCAGACACAAAATGGGACCGAGACTGTTGTGCAGCGACTGTTTCAGAGTTGCCGATGGCCTGGACCGTGTTCAAACCTCATCAGGTACAAAGAAAATAAATGATCTCATGGTATACACTGGGTTATACTCCGCTATTCACTCTCACATTAACTTGGACGACAACTAACAGACTGTGCGTGTTTTGCCTCTCTGTATTTTCCCAGCTACAGAACTCTGGTGAGACCTGTGTACAGAGTGACCTACAGGAAAATCACTTCTCTGGAATGGCGATGCTGTCCAGGATTCCATGGAGAAGACTGCAGAGAGGGTGAGGGAGCTCATTTTTTGCTGATCTCAAGTTCACTGAAGCATTTGAATGACTGTAAGACAAAGGAATTGTTAGATGATGTGAGCCAATTACATAGACATTTATTAGTGGTGTTTGATAAGACAAGCAAAACATAGCACAATTATCATAGAGATTTTATGGTTGGCCTCTTTTGACTTGTGACCCTAACAACCGCATAAACACCACTTAGAAAACTGGATAGCAATGCCTTAGCAACCACCCGTAACACCCAAACATACGCTACATCCGAAATCGAATACTTTCCTACTATTTAGTATGTGAAAAACAGTACGCAATAGTGTGTCCGAATTCATAGGATCCGAAAAACAGTACCCGGATCACCTACTACGTCTGGTATCATTCTGAAGTACGCATTTGATGGACACTATCCCATGAGGCCACGGGAGAGGATGTATGAATGGCCGTGAAGCGATACAACTGATGCTGGTAGGTCACATGACTGTAACAACATGGTGGATGTAGTACATCTGAGTTTTATTCATACTACCCATATTCATACTATACAGAATGTACTTTTTTTTAATGGTCACAAAGTAGGTTCTAATTCAAATGTAGTACCTACTCAAACAGTATGCAATTTCAGAAACACAGATAATGATTTTGTGGTTGGCCTCACTTGTGTAAGCAAGCAATCTGAAATGAGGAGATATCCCAGTTTTTTTTTGTTTTTTTTAATCAAATGTAAATTCATGTCCCAGTCACATTTTCTTGGTTAAATAAACATTACTTACACTATCAGAAAAAGAAAAAAAATCTATTTTATATTTTAACATTAACAATATAATCAATATTCTATGAATCTTATTAAGTTAGTGTTTTTAAGCATTTTACATTTATTCCAAAATAACAACTCAAGGCAGTATAATTTAAACAATACATTTTATTTGTGAAAATATGTTCAGCTTTTGTTTTTAATAATGAACTTTTAACTATTTTTGAATTTTTCGGATCATCAGTCATCAAAACTTGGTAAATATTGGCCACAGACAAGGAGATTTACTTTAAATTACACCAAGCTGATTACTTACTAAAATCTCCCACAGATCATGTTTTCAGGTCATTTCAAGTCTTATTTTGATGTAACAGTGTAAAAGTGGTTTTATCTAAGTGTGTGAGTTTTACTTTCTTTTTTAATTAGTCTTCCTATTAACGCCATTATATTGTTCATTCAGACTGATTCACGAACGTGGAACATGCACGGACACGGGATATATCGCATGAACCAATCACAGCCGAACATAACCAGTCATATCCAATCATATTGCAATGGAGGCATTGCCTCCTCTCACGTGACTTTCCCCCATTCATTCTCAATTAATTGGCTTGGTGGGTGGTTCTTTTTTTTTAATTGAAATCTCTTAGCAACAAAGGAAAGATCCCTTACATTCATTGTGTGGGTGAGAATGTGAGTGACAACAGCTGGTCTGACTGTGGAAATCAAGCATCTGTGTGAAATCTCGAAGTGAATGTGTCATAATTATATGCCCGTCTGAATATATTTCCTTTCTCGCTATATGAACACCAAAAACTTTAGTGCATAAACATGTTTCTACATTAACCAGGAGAAAATGCATTATGACTGTGTTACAAAGCATGCTCAGATTTGCCATAACAAAAAGTTCAAGTCAAAATTCAGAGATCTCAGTATGAGTATTATCACTTTACTGACTCACTTTGCTGTTATCCTAGAGAGATAATCATAATCAAAAGATAATCATAATCAAAACCGGCACAGCTCTGGGTCTTCAGATATATTGGGTAAATACATTTTAATTTATACAAATAAATAGCTGCAAGAAAATATTTTGCATTGAGGAAATGAGTCCGTGCTTTGATTCGTTTTGATTCATTTGACATAGTACAGTTAGTTGTGGTAGAGGACACAAGAGTCAAAATAATTTCTAACCCAGCAGAGATCATTTACCCATGACACACATTCCCATGTTTTTCTGGATGGGGATGGTTTAATGAACCTCCTCCCCCCCACAGCAGACATGCTGGCCCGTCTGCAGTATCTCTTTTCAGATCATCCCCTGTGAGATGCAGATGATTTAGTTTGGGTCAAATCCAAGGGCGCCATGATCTCTGACATGGTAAATAAATCAGAAATCTTCATTCCCCATCCCTTTCTCCTTCCTCCCACCCTTTTATCCCTCTCCATTGGGCTCATAGCTTTAGCCTGAGGTTTTCGATCCCCCGGGTCTCAGGCCCCTCTGTGTTTGGTTTATTTAAGAACATATTTTTGGAATTTGGATTGTGACTCACAGTCAAACAGCTCAAGTTAGGTCAAAGTCAGTCTGTGTGAAATCCCAACATTTCTAGTTGTCATGTGTAATGAGGCCTAACGAAGAATGCTGTGTCTGATTTCACTCATTATAGAACCTTTTTATATTTCTGGGTTTGGAGCGTGGATGTAAACATTAGCAGGGTAAACTTCTATTCATACTTGGTAAATGGGAGATCATAGCAAATATTATTTTAGCATATCCAATTTGCTCCAGCAGCAGCTGTATTAGAAACCACAAATATTTTATTGCAAGGGTTAAATAATAAGTATAGTGTTATAAAAACAAGATATAAAAATAACTAAAAATATAAATAAAACACTTTATTTTTGATAGTCCACTCTAGGCATTCTACTAACTATAAGAAACTGCCAACTATGCTTTCTGTGTGAACGTTCCATAAGAATACTTCATTTTGACTGGTCTTCACTGTCGTCCAGTGGTAACAGTGTGTATTCGACCGATCACCATAACTGAAACCGCTGTCGTACCACACAGACTTGCGCTTTCTCGCTTGTCTTCTGGCAGGATTCAAAGCTTGGTTGTAAGAACAAGCCAACTATAAGAGTGAACAATCCAGCCATGAATGTAAACAGAAATGCAATAAGAAACTTTTAAACTGATTCATGCTCCCCTGGAGTTGTGGTTTGAATGTTTATTCAGCTCAGTTTGACAGTTATTGAGAATTGTGTGACTAGTTGAGGTCATGTTCAACCACTTTAGTGATGTTTTGTCCTTCAGGAATGTACAATGTCATAAATTTGTGTGCCTTGTATTGAAAGATACCAGTGTGATGAAGTTGTTTGTTCATTAATGCAGCCCAGACAAAGCAATCTATTCCCATCCATCAGATTAGTCAGCGAAATGCTGGATGTTTTGTTGCCGTCCCTCCCTAGGTTAACTTTGTTTTGTTCATTAATGCATTCCTTGTATATTAAGGCCAGTTCCTCTCTTCATCTCAATAAATATTAGTATGTCAAGAACTTGGATATTCCGATCAGTTGTGTTTGACAATGTGAAAAGGATAGCTTTATGTTTGACTAAGAATGAGTAGACGTCAAGGAATGCACTGGTGCAAAGCTGTTGAGGTGTGGGTGGGTGGTTGCAGCTGGGATCGACAGCTGTAAGAGATCCTTTGTCCCATAACCATATTCCAATTGTCACTAGAGTGCAACTCCCAGAGATAGCATGCAACAAATCAAAAATCCTTAACAATCTAATATAAGACTTGGTTATGTTTTTGGATTTGGTGTAGAATTTTGATTGATATCTCAATTGATATATAACACAAGATTGATAGCACACTATCGTTTAAATGTTTTTTTGTTTTTTTTTAGCAAATCAGCATATTAGAATGGTTTCTGAAGGATCGTATGACACTGAAGACTGGAGAATTATGCTAAAAATTCAGTTTTGCCATATAGGAATAAATTACATTTTAAAGTATATTAAAATAGAAAATAGCTATTTTAAATTGTAATAGTATTTCACAATATTACTATTTTTACTGTATTTTGATCAAATGAATGCATCCTTGGTGAGCATGAGAAACTTCAGAAACATTATAGACTTATGAAACATTATAGACTTGATAAAATAAGACATAATAAAAACATTAAAATCTTACAATTTCTGAAACTAACTACTACTTAAAAAAAATATTATTGAGAAAAGTTTTTCTTTTTTGCATAATACTGCATAAGACAGTGTTTCCTTTTTCCATTTATTAGAGTTATGATAGAGAAGCTAAGAAGAAATATTTTCAATTCAGTTCTGGGCTGCGTTTCCCAAAAGCATCGCAAGCTTAAGTACATCGTAGACCCATTGAAACCAATGGAGCTACGATCAACTTAAGCTTACGATGCTTTTGGGAAACGCAGCCCAGATGTGTTGGTAAAGTGCATTTCTCAATAAATATTATAAATCTGAATAAATATATTACATTTTTTTCTTAAGTCAACATATGCACTTTAACAGCTCAGAAAATACATTTTGTAAAATATTTTGTCTCCTTAAATCCTTTTTACTATTTGTTGCGGCTCTACCTTTTTTTTTTTTTTTTTTTTACTTAATTAGTCTAATTTATATTCACTGTGCAAATAACAGTGGTTTGAGGAATTCTATCCCTAACAGGAAATCGAAACAAAAAGTTGTGGGTCTTGAAAAGTACATATGAACTGATTCATTTTACAGGAATACATAATATTATGGCTCCCTTGGGGTTCCTGGATCCCAACCACTAAACCCTGATTGCTAGACTAAAGGCATTAGTCATTCATGGGAACAATTCCCATCAGCAGAATTACTTGGGTACTTGAACTTACCATAATGCCCTTGTCAAAGCATAATGCCCTGGTCAAAGTCTTATCTATATCTACATACATAGTCGGCTCCAGCTGTCTTTCTTACTACCCTCATACCAGGTTTCCAGAAGGCCTAGCAGAGGTTCAAATCTATCACCTGCTCTACAAATTCCTTTAAATTGAGAATGTGATCAGTACCCCTAGCCGTGAGAGTGGCTGTGGGAAAATGGGATGTCTGTGGTGTGGTATCTCATGATTGATGAGGACACGTGTGCTCCAGCCCCCTCAGCTGCCTGCAGCGGGTGAGATCATCTAATTTCTGTGGTGGAGCACAGATGGTCATGCCAATTAAATCTACCTGTTCGTTAGGTTAGCTTGTACGACAGTGAACCCAAAATTGTATTTGACCTATGATGAATATAAGCTATTTGCAAATTATTTCAATCATTTTCAGGCTACAGTCTGCTGAGGTATGTCCTCTTAAATTTAATTCACACTTCACAGACAGACGCCAACAAACAAGTTCAGTGGATTTTGTGTTATCCCTGTTAGCGTTTGTTGGCATCAGTCAATGCTTGTTTTCGCTGACTGAACATGTTCAGTCGTTGTTTGGCGGGATGTGCAGTGTCTAAGAAGTGACATACTGTAATCTGGTGATTGTCTGCATTGGTCGACGTCTGTGGGTGCAGTGAGAATTAGCCTTTAAGCAACTCAAAATGCCTTTAGGTGCCAACAGTGTCTCTACTTAGCCAAACAGTTTTTTTTAACAAACTGCTTCTGTTTTTTGTTGATGTACCTAAATTAATCTGTAAAAATGCAGTGGATTATTTACATTTATTCATATATATTATAAATGATTTACTTGTGATCTAATTTTTGTGGTCACTTTTCTGTTACTGTTTAGTACTTCTGTTACATTGAAGTTTTGTCTTACTTTTGGGGGTTTAAGCTTTAAATGGGGTAGGAACCCCCCAAAAGTATGTAAATTAGACTAAATAATTACAAAGTAGGGCTGAATCAAATTGACTAAAATTATTATTTTATTCCAAATAAAATATCAAAACTATAATCGCATTTATTCATTTGAAAACAAGTTTTTTTTTAATTACTCTTCAACCGATTTATTGCACTTTTGTGTTCATTTCATACCTTCAGCAGTTCTTTTTTCTTCTTTTGCTTGAAATACCTGAGCAACGGTATACTGTTATTGAACATTGCCACAGTGAACTTTTTAAAGGAAAGTTCGCTGTGCCAAGCTGTTTGGTTAACTAACGAAACAAATTTTGTTCGAAATGACGTCATACTAGTTCTTTCTTCGATTTCACTTGAATATATCATGGCCTTTATAATTTATTAACTTTTCAGACCAAGAAACACTGATGAAACATCTGACCCAGTCGGACTGTCCAACTACCACCTAGTCACCAACTTACTTGTTTGATTCCTGCACTGCCAGTGTAAGAAAAACATATACTTTTAGGGGAAAAAATTAAGTATGAAAGCTCACTGGGACAGTACCCTTTCAAAAGGTACCTCCATGCACCTTATTTACCCATAAAGGATGCATTTTCGTACCTTAAAGGTACATATTTAAGCCTATTTGAGTTGAATTACTGAAATAAATTAACTTTTCCACGACATTCTAATTTATTGAGATGCACCTGTAAATGGTACATATTAGTAGCTTTTGAAAAGGTACTGCCTCAGTGACAGCGTTTGTACTTTTATGAGAGTGTAGGCTATGCATAATAGTCTAAAAACAGTATCACAAATGTAAATAGATCAGAAACATGAACATCATATTTCAAACAAAATGCAAGACATGGATATTTGCAGCTGGGCTCAACAGCTGTAACAGATCCACAATGGTATTCCAATTTTCAATAGACAGCAACTCCCAGTGATATTATGTATCAAATGAAATGGCCACAAGAATCCAATTTTAATTATTTAGGTTTTTTAAAGTAGCACCTGGGGGCTCTAGTTTATTAGAGGTTAGGTCCTTCACAAACCAAATGAGTAAATGGAGACTTCTGGAAGTACATGAAAGTGCATTGAAATTAGATTTGTTTAGTCTGCTTAATATATACTATACGCTTTAGAGGGATAAACTTCCCAGCCAATGAATCTCAAAGAGGAAAGTCATGCAGTTACCAGTCTTTCTGCAATGCATGTGTCCAAAGTATTTGTTTGAGAGCAGATACAGAGACTGAATATCATTAGTAATAAGTCTACAATTAATTCAGCAGAAGCAAAGGCTGATGACGTTGATCTTTAGATCTGGCAATACAGTTAATTCCAATTCTGTCTGAAATGCAGTTTACCAATAATCCCCTTTTATAAACTTTATTCACCCAGGAGAACATGCAAAAGTATCTTGTGTCTTCATAATCTCTGAAAGCCCCATATGCTGTTAATGGGTGTGGAGTCTTAATGTGGTCAGCTTGCTTGTATGATTTGTGTATTTGTACTTCTCCTAAGACACAAGTCGCACTCTGGTTTGGTACATCAATACATCACTGATGTCTGCACTGGCATGTGTCTGCATAACTTTATTAACCATGTCAGTTTTAATAAAACCGTTGTGCTAGTTCCAAAAATGGCCAGTTTAAAGCCTCTCTCACATCTGCAGAAATCATAGAGGCTCAGTATATCTGCAGATCCCATTGTGCTGTGCTTCTTTACAGCTCATCCGTTGGGTGTTTTTCCAGAATACCCCAAAGTTCAGCTGTCCACTGATCTGAGAGCAGTCCGGTATCCAGCAGAGCTGTGCGTTATGCCCAAGGCACGAGGAGAACAGGCATGTCAGACAGCTGGACATTTCATTCCGCATTTGCATAGTCTGCCAAACTTCAACGGCGGTTTAACTTGCACACAGTCTTCTATCATACATCACCCAGTGCCATGGAGTCCCTACAAAGTCAATATTACAGAATTAGAGTTTTTCTGAGCAAAACAGATATAGAGTGAATGGCATCCTTTGGGTTTACCATCATGGGTGTTTCCAGACGTGCAGTTAGAATTGCCCTTTAATGCAATCCTATGTCTTTCCAGCCAGAAAAACAGAGACGTCAACTTTTTCTGCTCTGTTGGATGTGTATATTGTGGTGAAGAGTGACAAATTTGTTCCTTTTTGCATTTTATGGAATGAGCTAATGTCCCTTCATGAGGTCTGGCATCCAGACTGTCCTTTGATGACACTGTGACATGCTTGTGGCCTATTGCAGTCAATTGAGAGCAGATGATGAAGCTCGTAGTTGTAAATGTCTCATTGGAAGAAACTAGAAGTGCAGTTTTGGTGGAGTAGCAGTGAAAAAAAGCACTAACTTTGGTCCATTAACTACCCACGTTGACCAGTAATTTAGCTGTTTTTAAAATAGTGAAAGGCGGATTTATTTTAGCAAATAGATTAATTTGAATGTACACGAACAAGCGTTGTGTTTCAGGTTGTTTATGTTGTTATATAGGATTGTATATTTCCTGTGTTTTTAACTCACTCCTATGAATTAAGGATTTTTGTCTTAGTAGATTTGTTTGTTTTAAGCTATGTTTAGTTCCTGATTAAATCAAGTCTTGTTCTACATTTTATCACATTCAATGTCCAAAAAAAAAAAACGTAAAAGTTTTGGGTTGTTATAATATTTTGCTTTTTTTTTTAAGAAGGGTTAGGTTATGCTCATAAAGCCTGCATGCATTTATTTCTTAATACAGTAAATGTTGTGAAAACAACAGTATTGAGAAAAATATTATTACAATTGCAAATAACTGTTTTCTGTTTTAATGTATTTTCAAATGTAATTTACTCTTCGCAAGAAACATTTCTTATCAGTGTTGAAACAGTTGTGCTGCTTAAACCGTGATACATATTTTTCTGGATTCTTTCTGGAATAAAACGTTTAAAAGAACATTATGAATGTTCATACTCTCACTTTTTACCAATTTAACGTGTCCTTGCTGAATAAGAGTTTTTTTTTTCTTTAATCTTACAGAATCCAAACTTTTGAATGGTAGAATTCATCAAATTATGTGTAAAATGGGAATGGCAATTAATCTGTACATTAAAGTAGACCAGTTTTAGTCATTGCATCTCAAACACTTTTTATTTAGTGAATTTTGATGCAAAGTTTAATTTCTGATCTCATCATCTGGTGATCTTTAAATTCTAATCTCATCATTAGTTAAAAAATAGCTGTAGGCCTATTGCATTTCAAATGTCACCACTGAGAGATCACCTGACATTCATCATCATCTCATTTCATGCCAAATAATTCCCAAATCTCTGCTGTCTTGAGATAGTCTGAGATGTCTATAGAGAGATCCAGCACCTTGTGGTTGTCTTCACCCTGACCAGCCCTATGCTGTGAAGAGCATCTCTCTCAAATGAGAAAGGTGAATGTTGGGGAAACCCAGAGTGAGATATTTCCCTTCACTAGGATTCCATACAAATGGAAATTCATGGCTTGCCAGTGTCTGGTTTTCCTGTTCCTTATTCTACCCCTGGGAGGGATGTTAACCAAAAATGTAATTGAACTCATTTACTGTCTCTAACAAATTCTCATTGTTCACAAAGCAGCACTGATCATACCACTGTTATTTTGGTTTCACACTGAGGTTTTGGGATTGATTTCATTTTTTGACTACAAGCCTGTGACTCTGGAAGGATCCATGGAATTTTCAGCACAGTATGAATGAATGTGTCTTTGTTAAGTTAACTTGTGAGAACATCACACAAACTTTATTCAGATCAGTTACTTTGACTAGTATACAATTATAATATTGCAAAAACATTAGTAAAAGCATTCTTTAGATTGAACGATCATAGATTTGACTTATGACACAACAGATGGCTGAGAGATTTATAGCATTCGCTTAATCCATTCACTCTATCATGTATCACTTTTTATGGTTAGAAATTCCCCTTTCTCTACTGTCATACTTCATGTTACCTTGACATCTCTTTTTGCATTCATCCTTTTAGAGTGCATGAACTGTACTGGTTATGCTGACATCAAAGAGCGCTTGAGTGTCATTGAAGCTCAGGTAAGACAGAAATAAAGGTAATCTCTTCTATCAAGCAGTTGTGTTAAGATAGTAAGCATGCAGTTTTGCTTTTTTAACAGATAATGTTACTGAGAGATGCTGAGGCACCCCCTTTCCCTCAGCCCAGCCAATCACCTGAGAGAACAGCTGATAATGAAGTTGACAGGACACGCCCCTCACCAATAACACCCAATGCCATTGGCCGACCAGGTGAGAAGAAAATAATTGTTGCTAAACTGTTCTTTAAGAAGTGTAATTTTATATTTTAAATATTTGTATATATTTTATTTAGATAAGTAAGATATGTGATTTTGTGTGTGTGTGTGTGTGTGTGTGTGTGTGTGTG